GAAAGTAAAGTACAAAAAGTCAATTCCACAAGAACAAGCGCCGCAATGTGAAAATTGGAATAAGGGATGAAAGGTTTGCCAATACGGATGTTGTAAAGAATTACAAAGGTCGAGCAAAATAACGAGACACAGAATATTGCACTTGGAGGATATCGATAGTAGCTATGTGCTTCGTAAACATTGAACTGAAATGAAATCAAGTGATAAATCACGATCAACTCTCCGAATATGACACCAACATAAACCGTTGATAAAAACTTTGCTTTAAAGTCGTTCCATCCAAATAACATCATTATTGTGAATGGAAACCATAAATATATCACAAACGACTCCACGCAATCACCAAAGACGTGAGCGCGTTTAACAGATAAGGGTAATGTGTTGTTGTTGTTGTGACTCTGCCATTCCAGACAACTGTAGGTGGTATTCATTGACACATACACAATCGCTATGGCAAACACAATAGGAATGATGGAGGCTAAAATGATGGTTATGCTCGTCCACAAACATTTCCAAAATGTCTTCCAAACTCTTTTACTTTTTTGAGAGTTATCATAAGTTGCACCATATTGGCTTGAGTCATTGACTAAAGGTTGGCTTAATATTTCATCGTTATTATCGTCGTCGTATTCTTTGTTGATATAATATTTTTGAACATTATTGTCAATTTCTCTGAATTCAAAATTCGTATTTTCTAGCGAAGTTTCCGTGTCAGACGTCACTCTCGGTGTATCAGCAGCAAAAAGCGAACAAAACGATAAAGCAAGTCCAATTATTTCTTCAAGCATTTTGTCATGACCATTTGACATATCAATAGAAAGTGAAATGTAATATACATAAATCCAGATAAAAATGCCTTGGGTTCAGGGGCGGATCAATGCTCAATTGACAGGAGGGGTGTAAATTTTCTAAGGGAAATGCATCATTGCCTTGCTTAAATTCAAGAGCGTCGGGTATTGTGGATTTACAGGCTAACATATAAGTGAATTCTGCATAATGAAAGTGTTATTAGCTTTTTAAGAAATTTATTTCAAGTTAAGTAAATTATAAATCCTAGTTGTATAGCTGTTAAGTCAACATAATCAACATAGCTTCATAAATTATGTAACCAAATATTACCAACGACGAGTCGAACACGAATACAACAGTTACTTTCATACATAAAAAACAATGGACAAGAAAATAATGGGAAACTGAGACGACATGACAAAGTAACAGCTTACTTCGCATTTAGTAATTTAGTTCAATTTCAGTAGAAATCTAACTCAATTGCAAATGGCGACAGTATAAAATATATAATAGCCTTTGAAATGATAAGTTCCACTTTTTACTAAGGTTTTACTGTACAATTTCCTATCTTCTAAAACTATTATAATTACAGTCTACAGTGCGTAATACCATTTTAGAATTTTCCTAGGGAGACAATGCACCCCTGCCCCCACTTGCCTTTGTTATCATTTATTGGCACCATTTCAAACATTTTTTGTCATACTAGACATCATTTGCATAAGCCAAAGATGCCAAAGCCATACGACTCCGCCTGATTCACTGAATTCGATATTTTTATGGTAAAACAAACTACCTTAAAACCACTTCAAAACATCAAACAGAAAAATGCGACATCTAACACCAATCATTGGAAGACACAACAGTTGTACACCACTTAACTTATGAAGTATCAGCAGCAATAGTGTAGTTGAAAAATCTCCAACTTAAATAATATCAAGTAAGACGATGTGTGTCTCTGGGCCAAAAATTTGTGAGTGTGACGCAAAATGCTGTCAAATGATTGATAAAAATGCTCTCAACTGCCTGATACAATTTTATATGCTGAATAGCTTTTGTGGCTGTTTTCGGTCGGCATATTTTACAGGAGGAATTTGTTTAATGAGGTTTTGCAATAACCAAGGTTAATAGTAAAGGAACGGCGCGCGGACCTGGGCACGAGACCTCCTGCAGTTAGCACGCAGTACTAGATAAAATAGGATACGAAGTACGTTTGCAGAGTAAACAGCATTATTTTTTGCCTTTTCCACAAAACAATTGGTGTTAGACAAACCCTAACTGCACCTAACCATCCACTCACGTAAGTATGACATCATACTGTGACGTCTGGTATTAACAAGACTTAGGTTGCACCTTCTTTATTTTTAACGTAGTCTTCCATATGTATTCAATCTTTCTAACGGGAAGACGATGTTTGCAATTTTTCTTGCCGGTGTCTTTGTTAATAAAATTGCTAAGGGCCTCCACAGACTAGGTATTTTGTCGTCGACAACTTTCCGTAGTCGACAACTAAATGTAGTCGACAAACAACACTTTTGAGTGATTTCAGTTTTCCTTGCAAAAAAGGAAAACCGCTTTGTTGTCGACAACTACAATTTTACACGTTTAGTTGTCGACAACTTATTCTACAGACGGTGGTTTTTGCTTATCGACTACCTTAAGTTGTCAAGTTATCAACAACAAAAGTCTTCTATATTTCTGTACGGAAGCCTTCTTGTCTGCGTCATTACTTGCAATATGAGTACAGATTTGGAGCCTTATCATACTGTATGTAAGTGTACAGTATACTAAAACAGTAGTAGTACATACAACGCTCAACTAGCGATATTTCACAACTACAACAAAGATGTCTTGTGCACTGCAAACGGCTGTGAATGTTGGACATGACAGCCCAATTACAACATAAAAAGGTTAATAAACAGCAAAGCTCAATAACTGAAAAATAGACTCATAGCTCAACAAATGGCATAACATAAGAAAGCAAACACGGAATTTCAGATACCATCTATCAAAATTATAGTTTAATATTAAAATGACAAATCGCTCTAGTTAGTTTGAAGCAACATTAACATCATACAATATGCATTTCTTATCTTATCGAAACAAAAAAAGGCAACGTAGAATCACAACTATTCTGAGTAGTATTTGAAGTAAATTTCGAGTAATAAACTCAAATTGAAAGAAAATGTAGCTTTGAAATTCAACTGGTACCAAATAACTTTAAATATACTGAATTACAAGTCGCCAAAACTAAAAATTCCGTGTGTTGATCGTCTTGTTTTTCTTTCTCTTCTGAAAAACGACTTTAACAATTGCAATGAAATTTGCAGAGCGCCGGGATGGGTACAAAACGCTCTAAAGAGCGAACATTTTCAGCGAAAGGCAAATTGTCAACGTAAAGGTCGTCAATTAGCCCCAGAATTTGACGCGGATTCCTGCGCCATTTCGCCTTATTACATGAAAGTTTTCTCCATTTAGCAGTAAAAAAAAATAATATACAGCAAGAAGCTAGTACAAATGATGTTAATTATGAGTTAGCACTATTTTTGATAAGCGTAACGAGTGAGCAACTTCAGCAAGCTTTGCTGTTCGCCATTGTTTACCAAGTGTAGTGAAAGCCCTTTCACCCCGACGCTAATTGGTTGAAAGCTAGACTCTCTTTGCTTTGATAATATTAAAAACATAATATTGATTTCACCTTTCTCTGATCATATATTAAAGATAAAATAATCGATTTTTCTCTTTAATGTGTAAGTTATATGATTGACATACATGCCAAAGTTGATAAGTACCACTACAGCAACATGATGGTTAAAAAATTTTTTGGTTCCTCGATGGACGCATAAAAAAATCACAATTTTCGAAGTCGGCCCATGGCCTAAAAAGCATAAATTTGGTTTCAGGCCTTGTCATTATACAACTTCGAAATTTCTAGATTGAATAAGTGATTAGTACTCTAACATAGACCGTGGTCTTATATAACTTAGTCGTTCTACTGAATCTATATAAAGCATTTGCTACGGTAAGTCATGAAATAATATTACAAAAGACCCAAATATATGGTAATTAACGATAAACTGACTGCAACCAGCCAATCACAGAGGAGAAATATTTGAAAGTATACTATTATGAATTAAAAAGAAATTTGTTCATCGGCTTATAAGCCGATCAGATTATCGTATTTAAGCATTTGGCACATTTTTTAAAAACAATTACACATTTTACAGTGCAACTACATTTTTTGGTGTGCAATTATATAGATACAGGTAAGTGTAAAAAATTGCCTGCACAGTCAGTCTGTACGCCAATTGTTGTCCATTCAACTAGTCTGATCATAAAAGACAACTCAATTAAACGTCAAACGCTCGCCACTGAAATAAAACCAATTAATTCATGAATTGTCGTGAGCACGACGAAAATGAGGAATGTAAGAAAAGTTTGTAACCAAACAGCAGAAACTGCATGCAATTGACCTACGAGGCTTGTCACAAGCCTTTACTGCACAAATTACATGTAATTAGTACGAAGTCCTTGAACCAATCAAAATCTTTCGCGCGTGGCGTGAGCAGATTGCCGCATTTGACATTGCATTTTGCCTTTGCCATTGTCGTTTATTTCGTTGTGGTATTTGGCAATTTTTTGCAATATAATACGCGAATTTAACCAAATTCTGACTCGTACAGCACGACTGAACGCCTCATAGACATTTTGTAATAAACAAATAGAATTTTAGGATATAAAACAAGCAAACTAATGATATTATGTACTATTCGTAAAAACAAAATGGAGACAGTCACACCAACATTTATACTTTTAACTTACTTTAACATAGCAGGAAAGACCTTTCTCTGTTATTTTCTTCGTTTTAATGACATAATATGTGGACTCTTCACCACAGAAAGCAGAAAGCAAGAGCACTTTTATCCACACAAAACTAAAGTCATCTCACATGCCTGACTTCCAGTTTTAAATTTTTGAAATAAGCGCGGTAAAACAACAAATATCATACTGATTTCCATACAGCAAACAAACTAATCGGAAAGTACCGTCGCAAGAAAGATCGCGGACATCACGAATCAGCAAACTTTCAAGATTGAACGCGTGACTTTTGCGTGGATTTATAGGAGTGCCAAAAAAAAATAAAGTCAATAAGCCAGAAAAAAGTAAACCAGATGTTGAAGACACTTTAAGAAACAAACAACACCACTTAACGATAGTGACAGAAAAATCATAGATAGTATATTGAATCAGAGTTAATACAAAAACTATTTACAAAATAATGGTTACATAAATCTTAAGCTGGGTTAAATTACAAACAGTGCAAAATAGGATATATATTGGCATATTTTCTCTCTACAGATCGCATTGTGTTTACACTATTGGCCTTTTTAACCTCTAGTGACCATGTTAGAAAGATCGTTTAAAAGAAATTTTAACTTTTAGTATTTGAGCAACATGGCAATTCAGAAACACTTTGCTTTTCAGTATGCATTCACACAGACGTCAAATCCTCACTTTTTAAAGCAAAATGCTATCTGCATGAGCATAATATGTTAGTGAAAAGTTGTAATTTTGGAAAAACGCGTTGCCCGCTAAAACAATTGTATCAATCTTAAACGGCTGAATTCAATGAAGTGATTAAGATGTTTATGACTTCATAAAAACTTGGCATTATAAATGTTCTTAATTTGGATATGTTCCCATAGCTACTTCATTGGCTCTCCCCACGCCCTTTCCGTGATGGCCGTTGATGAAGTGACTGTTGGCTGCCTTTGCATAGTAATCATCTATCGGGTTATCACGACTGATCTGAGAGTGAAAATATGTCAAGAAACTGAGTGCAAATCAAAGGTTCAAATTAATAACGAGACCCCTTTTTCAAAAAACAACTCTATCAGTGATTAGTCATTAAAGAAACAATTTCAAAAAACGAAACGAAACAATGAAAACAAAACAATAGATAGGAAAAACAAACGTACGTAGAAACGATTATACATGCAGCAAATTTTTAGTGTATTCATGACTTTAACTATTTTTTAAGTGAAAAATTTTACAATGTACACAAGATAGTTGTTTTTAAAAAGCCATAGCTTCAAGTATAAATTTTCATGCACTTACGTGTACCATCCAGCCGAGGATTCTGAAGTAGATGAAAGAACAGAACACACAGACGAGAATCGAGAGCGCAGATAAAGCGACGATAAAAGAATCCATCACGGCGAGGTATCTTATTTCATCACATTCCAGGGGTGAAATAACAAAATTAGCTAAACGTGATGCACAAAATACTGAAAGTTAGATAAAGAGAATGGCATTAAAAAGTGTGATGCTGCATTAAGGATTCGAGAGGAATGTATATTTATAAAATAGGCTAAATAGCGAACTGTTCATGATTGAGTGAGTTTTCGATAATACAGTTAAATTCAAATAAAAGAGAGTAAATATAGAGTAAAGTATTGAGTTTGAAAAACTAATAAAGTAAAGATTAGATAATGGAATGTCATTTCAAAATGTAAAAAGCCAATGTCATGGAGAAAAACTAGGTGTATAATTATTGGCAAGAAGTGATGACAGAGAAGGTAACTGGACAAGAATAATTGTTGCAGGTAATTGCCATGAATCTCGAAAGGGTATATGGTTCCAAACATTTAAAAAATGAAAGATGTTTACTGTGTTTGCACAGGCTTATGCAAACCGAGGAGACCTTTGGTAGAACTCAGAGCAGATCAATACAAACACAACACCTAAAGTCGTGGGTGTGCACCTGCTGGAGCATACACCCGCATCTATTTCTAAGTCTACATGTATAATCTATACAATAGACGCGATAGTGCTTTAACCATTACTAAAACCCACAAAAAACGAGTTGTTAGGCTTGATTTTATAGGGTGAAAGCATGAACAAATTAGCAGATTACCTAAACAGTAAAGATAAAACAAAAAAAATACCTCTCGGAAATACGGGACGTAAGCACGAACACCGGCCATTTACAGTGTCGCAGATGTCATCGTTTTCAGTTATGTAAATTGCGTTTTGTAATGTAATTCGCCATCGTGGACCTTCCAAAATCACAGCAAACATTGACAGTGCCATCACCAAAATAGCAAAGAACAAGCCAAGGCCCAACTGCGAGAGACAAATAAATGTACAGCTATCTTAAGTGTTTTAGTATGTTGGAACGAACTAAAATTTGGTAAGTATTTCAAATCACATGCTTAAAAAACCATTAGGAAATTTCATATTTTCACTTTGGATTGTTTTATAATTCTACCATTGTGAAACGAAAACGATGGTGTGTAATTCTTCCCTCTGACGTCAATGCTATGACGTTCATCTCGGAATGTTAACGTTATTAAAAAAGACAGTATGTCTTTATTAAAAATACTTAAAAGATTAAAGAATTTTAATGTTTTTTAATTCAAACGTTTTATTTATGTTTAAAGCTTTCGTCAGAGGCGACTAATCATAGCCAATAACCGATATCGTTAATTGTTTCTTACCCAAAGACTGACTTTGCTGCATGACGTAAACATGACGTGAATACCGAGAAGGAAAAGCTGCAAAGACAAAATATATCACTCAGCATTCCAACAGCAGGATATGTTTTCCAGCAAGTTCCTTAGCAACGCAAAACATTTACGATCAAAGAACGATTTATTTAGCAAAAAGGTGCTTTGCTTTTGCATGAGAGACAAAGAGTTTTAATCTTTATGATAGCCCCAAAACTAAGACTGACAATCAACAACAATATGACCGAGAAACGTTTTATAAAAAACTTCACAAAATGTTTTCATTCTTCACAAACATCATCAAAGGTCAACAGGGACCACCAAAGGTTGATTTGCTATAATCCGTTATCACAGTTGAAACTTTTAAAGTAGAGCTTGCACATATGAAAATTAGCCCCCCTCAATTATTGTTCCCTTATCAAAGGCTCGTTAATTTATGTTCATGAGAATAAAAAGAGCAATATAAATCAGGAAATTCTTGGCACGCTATTCGATATTTTGATTTCTGCCCCAGTTCCAAATAACCGTTTTTGGCATTAATTAAAGCGCAAATTGAGAGTCTCACTACTCCTTTGCACAGTTTACAACAAAAACCTCGTAAAACAGGCCAGCTTAATAAATGTTTGTAAGATTTTTGTTTCTTGTTTGAATAAAACGACATAACCATATATTCAGTGGCATGAGTAAGTAGCAACGAAAAGCACGATGGGACACATATACTGACAGAACTTTCTTGAATAAAAACAATGAAAAAATGTAGTATCCTTTTAACTTACAGGAATTCCAACCCAATATTGAGGATGTGTGTAATACAATGTCTCCACTTTCGAATAATCATCGTAAGGATCCAGGTAGTCGGTCAAACAACCAGCAACAATAATTCCAGCACCAAACACGAGCATCACAATACCACAAAAAATAAGACCTAGTCTATGCTGACTTGACACGCGAGCCATTTTCAAGATGAATACAGATGCACTTTACGACACTCTGTGTGAGTACTTAAGATAATTGAATGCTCTCTGTTTTGATGAGTAATACAAATGGCGAAAATCTTCCTTCAAAAGGACACGGAGATGTTCACGTTCTCTGACTGATGTTAGGAGATCTGTATCGTTACGTTATGATGTATCTCGAGGCTTGTCGATAACTGAAAAACGCCCTTCTCTGCTCTCTACTATATAGTTATGGAGCAATTAAGGTATTTGTGGGTACTTCGGGGGTGTAACAACTGAGGGAATGTCGACTTTACAAGAGTCTTTGAAAAAGCACCAAGTCATAAATCTTAATAGCTATAAGGAATTGTCATTTTCATATTTCAAATAATCTGACTTTTTTATTTCAATTTTACAAATAACGACGCACGTCATTGCTTAAATCTACCGAGATCAACGAAGGCATAAGGGTTGGTCATTGATGATAAAAAAATGACAAATTACGACCAATCAGCACGTACAAACATCTTACATGAAAAAATGGACGATACATTATAACATAAATACTGTGAAAATAACCATCAAACTACCAAAGCCAAGAGTATCATAAAATCTTTTTTTTAATATCAAACACGACACGCTCGTCGTTTCAAGCAATAAAGCCTAAAATTACATCTTTTGTAAGATAATTGTTCACAGCTTTTAATGACTTGCCTTGTTTACGTTTTTCAACCAGGCAGATTAATTCCAGAGATGTTAGCCATTTTAGCTAGTGTTGTCTAAAAGCACTCGACCAAATCTGCCTGCCAGCAAAATGTAAACAAGGCAAGCAAACATATCACGCAAATTCACTTTAAATGGCCAATTTGGTGGCCAGAATAGTCTGGAAGCAAACAAAACGTCTATAGTTCAACGGACAAATACAAATGCTAAAATACACTTAAATACACATACTTCGTACATTTTAAGATAAAAATGCTAGAGAACATTTTAATTATATACATACCTTATATATTTAACACTACGTCTTTCTATTCACTTTGCGAGCAAGAACAACGTCATTGAGGGCTTTTAAAACGTTTCACACATAACTTAATTTGCATTACAATAAATACATGGTGTAACTGCACGCACTTTAAGTGTCTATGACACGAAATTTTATCCCGAATTTGTTTCACTGAAGGGAAAGGACATATAAAATGACTTTATAACCTCTCCAGTAGAATTGACTTACTTACTTTTTTCTAAAGTAATTTATTTATTACGTCAATAACATTGTAATATCACAGAGCATAAGAACATTTTAAAGATCATCACAATTTTCCACATCGTTAGAACATTCTAAGCACAATTATACAACAGTTTGATGAATACATTTGCAGATGAATATATTTGTAAAGGCCGTTTCAAGCGACGCATTTTACACGTGCCGAATTCATTAAAGAAAAAATAAAATGAGATAAAATTTGATTATCGTTTGTTTTATTAAATGCGTTCGGTTCATGCAAAATGCGACGTTTGAAACGGGCCAAAAAAGATGCCAAAGTTCGACAATTTAATGTTGATGGTCGACAATTACCAATGCTAACTATGCAATGAGATGTCACATTACGATGCATAGCAGAGAAAAGTTACATATCTATAAAAAATAACACAATTCTATGGAAGAAGTTACTAAGCCATTTTAAATTTTCTTTATAATGCAATCAGAAAACATAGTAAAATTTAGTGTCATAAACACTTTAAAGTGCCTACAGTGGAAACTGGCATATTTTTCAATAGAGATCGATCATTCGTTTTCACTTAAAGTGCTCATGACACCAAACTTTTCCACAGTGTTCTCTGATTGTTTCGTAAAGGCGATTTAAAATGACTTAATGACTTCTTGAACAGAACTGTTTTATCTTATTTCTTTATCGAGATATGAAATTTTGCTTCAATACGCCGAAGAGATCGTTATTACATCACATTGCATAAATCGGAAGATTGATGATCTTTAAATGTTAATATGCTCTATGATGTCTTAACGATATTATTTGCATAATGAATAAAGCCTCGGTCACACTGTTCGACGATAACGATAACAATGAACTATAAGGAAATTCAATGGTTACATACTAACGATAAATCGTCATCGTTATCGCTGCAATGTGATCGCACACAAGAGTTTGAATAACGAGCGATTTTTTTTGCATCGTTATCGGATCGTTATCGGGTGCAGTGTCACCGAGGCTTAAAGTCGGATACCTCTAGAAAAAAGGAAAATCAGTCAATACTACTGAAGAGGTTATAAAGGACGCATGCGCACTTTATGGCTGTGTTTGATGTTTTAACGTCAATTCTACTACGTGCCAGCCTCGTACCCAGACGCTTTGATGTCTCCAGCCACGCAAATGCGCGATGCCCAAGCACACCACGTGACATTCAATTTATAAAATATCAAATAGAGTTCAAAGTAAAGCATCAAAGCGCCTGGGTACGAGGCTGACTACGAGCAAAGAGTTGCAAAAATAAATAAAACAAAGTTCGTGAAACATTCAAATGTCATACTTTGACTGAAAATAGATGCAGAAACGTCCATATTTGGCTAACTTACGTCGTCGAATTCCAAATTTCCAAGGCATATTTATGCGCGTGAATTCCACGAGGAGCTTAAGATATTTATGATTTCATGGATGCCTGGTATTATAAATGTTCTCAATTCGGATATGTTCCCATTGCTACATCATTGGTTCGCCCCATGCTCCTTTCGTGATTACCGTTGGTGAAGGGAGTGTTAAATGCCTTTGCATAGTAGTCATCTATCGATTTATCAGGACTGACCTGAGAGTGAGTGAAAATATGTCAAGGAAACCGATTATCGATACGTGCAAAACTAAAGTTCAATTGACCTTCTCAACAAACAAAATTTATCTTTATTTTTAACAATCGAGGAAACAATTTCACAAAAAGAAAAAATCACAAAATCATGATAAGTTGACCGAACGATTGTTTAAGAAAATTTTTTCGTGATCCTAATTGTTCACTTAATAAATTAATTCCTAACGCATTACGTTGATAATCCTGATTATATTACAAATATATTAAGAAACCAAAAGAATTTTTGATGTACTCGATATAAAAGTACGAAGTTTCTTAAATTCATGTATTGCCTACAGTAGTAATAAATACAATAATCGGTAGCACATTTAAATCTTTTCATCCTTTGCTAAGCTTATTAAAAATTCTCTTTGTAAACTCAACTATTGTATATATTCTCATAACAAATTTAAATTGTCGCATAAAAACTCCCGCAATTCAGCTTATGGTTGCAATGTATGATTTACTTCAATAAAAAAACAAAGAAAGGAACGAAACAGAGAAAATGAAACACAGCAAAAGAAACAAACAACATAGAAATATTCAGTATAAATTGTTTAACATGCAACGCATGCAAATTTACTGCACACATACATGAGGTCAATCATTTTTTACGAAAAACATTTTCTCAATGTACACAAGATATAGATATTTGTTGAAAAGGAAAAAGCTTTCTCGGATTAAATTTTCATGCACTTACGTGTACCATCCAGCCGAGGATTCTGAAGTAGATGAAAGAACAGAAAATGCAGACGATAATCGAGAGCGCTGAGAATATAACATTGATGGAATACCTCAAGGCAAGATACCTCACTTCATTGCATGATAGTAAATCTAAAATGAAAATGATAACGAGTTTATAAAATAACCTTTAAAAAAACGGGCGCCGATTGGTCGAATGCGCGTAGAAACCGTTTTGATATAACTCTATAACGCACTAGAGTTCAGTCTCGCAGGTTGCGTGGTCTGTGCGAGAAATTTCAATAGCAAAAATATCATCAACATGCCATTAAAATCAATGAATTTATCTTTTAAATATTGTTTTTAAAAGGCTATTTTACAAACGAAATAGAAAACATTTTTACTTGTTTATATTGAGTATAACGAGTTGTGAAAGTTTGGGAGGAACTCGACATTGCCAGGAAACACTAGCGATTCGTGCTTGCCGCGCAATTATTCCTCGTTTCTCCCAAAACTTCCCGCGTGTTTGTACAACTCTACACAAACACTGAAAATGTTTTCTATTTCTTAAAAATTACATACACGATAGAAATAGGTTTAGCAATACCTGCGGAGCCGCATTCACAAATGCCTCCTACAGTTTTGCATTTAAGTTCATCAACGCGAACCGCGTTCTGTAATGCTACTCGCCATTTCGGACCTTCCAAAATCACAGCAAACATTGAGAGAGTCATCAACAAAGCAGCAATGAAGAAGCCAATGATCATCTGCGCAGAGTAAATAAACAGAGATTTTTCAAAAATTAAATGTGCTGTAATGTAACACGTCAGTAAATATTGCAATAAAGTTATACAAATAAGATCAAGATCAAGTATAGGTTGAATAGCGTTCTAAGAATTTTGAGCTTGTTTATAAAACTGATTGCTCACTTAATTACACTAATATGATTCTGATGCAATGTGAAAATGATTAATTATGATTCTGATGCAATGTGAAAATGATTAATTATGATTCTGATGCAATGTGAAAATGATTAATTATATGATTCTGATGCAATGTGAAAATTATTAATTATATGATTCTGATGCAATGTGAAAATGGTCATATATTCGATACTCTAACATTAAAGGTGTAACGTTCAAGTCAAAAAAACCGTGTTGATATAACTCTATAATGTAAGTCGTAAGTCACGATATGAATAAGAAACCAATCTACTAGATATCTTGAAAGCTGTCATTTTGAAAAGTGGCAAAACCAAAGGTATGTAGAACTGAAACGTGCTTCTTCTACGTTTGTATGTAAATGCAAAGGTTACAGTATTGATTTTCAAAATGCTGTGTAGGATTGGTTTTGTGTACTTTTGTTCAATTTATTTTTGACTGAGCCTAATGCTTTCTGAAACCCTCAAACTGAATGAGCGGTAAAGGACTCACGGATGAACGAAGACTTAAAGATGTTTGAGATTTAGCCAATACATATCATATTTCATGTTTGTAGTTGTAGATCGTACAGGACAGTGCATTCCTGAGAAGGACTTTTGGTGTTTGAGGTTGTCAAAACGCCAGTCAGCAAACAACAACAGTCCTTCTCAGGACTCTGCCATCCTGAATGATGAACATCTACAAACATGTAAGAGTAATCCCGAGTTAAAATCATTCATTGTATATAATATTTCATCATTTACCTTTTTTGTTGGGTTACTTTGACGTATGCAAAAATTATAAAGTATTCATTTTGTAATTTCTTACCAAAAAACTGTCTGTGTTGTATGACGTGAGGATGACGTAAATTCCGAGAAAGAAAAGCTGCAAAGACAAATTATATCACTCATCATTCCTACAAAAATGTATTTATTTCCAGGAAGCTCCTTGGCGACACAAAAAACATGATCAAAGAACAGCTAATTTAGCACTGAAAGTGCTTTGATTTTACAACGACGAAAAATATTTTCGGAGCGTACCTTCCGAGCAAAGTTGACCATTGAACAACATGAACGTATAAGATTATTACAAATTTCATCCCCAAGATCTTTCAAGAAACTTGGGTATTTTCTATTTCTTTAGAGAAGGTGGGAGGGGGGTTGGCACTAACTTTTTTCAGTGGCAAACGAAGCGATGAAATGCGCGATGCGTGGATTCATCGTCTCATTTAAGGCATAGACCAATTTTTTGTGATTAAAAATTAAACGTCGTTTTAACTTACGGGAATCCCAACCCAATATTGAGTGTGTAAAAAATGGTAAAGATTCACTTTCGTCACTTTATCGTAAGGATGCTCGAAGTCGTTCGAAAATCCAGTACTGATAATCCCAGAACTGAGCAGGAGCATCATAACACCACAAACAAGTAGACCAGACTTATGCTGACTTGACACACGGGCCATTTTCACGACAAATAAAGAGATGCACTTCACAACACTATGAGCGGGTACTTGAACAATTGAATGCTCTTCGTTTTGATGAGTAAATAGAAATGCCAAAATCTTCCACTTTTGATACGAAGGTATTTACGTTGTATGATCGAAGTTAGGAGATCTGTATCGTTATGATGTGATCACAAGGCTTGTCAATAACCAAAATAACATTTTCATCCGCTCTCTATTATATATATATAGAGAGAGAGTGTTTGAATATGACGTCAAAGCGGCCATATTGGGGGCGTAAATCAAAGAGCCGAAGCTCGGTAGAACATGACATCAACATAAATTCCTTTCACTATATATTTGTTTTCCAATGGCGACCGACGAAAACACTCTAGTTGTGGTCAGAGTTGTGGATGCGACGCTAGTCAAAATAATTTGAAGGTGTTCAATCTTATATTCAAAATGCCTTCCAAACGAAATTATTGCTTTTGAATTTCTAAAAAATAATTACCAATCAAAAATGACGTACTCTAATTCCGCTAATAACTATGAAAGTAATTAAGCTGAAACCTGCATATTTGGAGTACGTATTTGGGTCACAATTAAGAGAATTTCCGCTTTACAAGGGTTTTTAAAAAAGCACTTAAACAAGGCGAGAAAAACTAGTTCTTATGTTTTTAACTTCTTTTTCTTTTTTAGGACTCCACGCGAGAAAACATATCTGACGAAAAATTCATATGAAACCGACTTCGAATTTTTGAGAAAAAATTATAAATGTTCAATTTTATATTCAAAATACGTTCTAAACAAAACTATTGTTTTTTTAATTTTTAAGTATTGCACGAGTGATATTGCCATAGTGATTAAGCATCGAAATTTCACAATAGATTAATTTCTAAAGGTTTTCTTTCCATGCATCCTGTAGATCCGCTACTGACTATGGAAGAAATTAAGCTGAAGCCTGCATAATTGGGAACATTGGGGGTGTAACTAGGCATTTTTCTTAAAACGGATAGAATCCGTTATAGAATCCCATTGCTACTTCAGTAACTCGCCCCATGCCATTTCCGTGATGACCGTTATTGCCAACTGCATACTAATCATCTATTGGGTCATCATGACGGATGTGAAAGTATGCGAAGAAGCTGAGTATCAATAAATAACTACGAATCAAAGGTTCAGCTGACCTTTTCAACAAACCACTTTATTAGCAAAGAAATTTGAAGGAAAAGGCCATTAAGGAGACTATTTCACACAAAAAAAATAAAGAAAAATAGCATCATAAAGACAAAGGTAAAGTTAGTTTACATGCAACAAATTTCTAGTGTGTACACGAAGTTAATAATTTTTTAAGAGAAAAATTTTCATTGCAGAAAAGATAGATGTTTGTTGAAAAGGCCAGAGATTCCTCCGGTTAAAGTTCAAGCACTTACTGCTGGTAACTTCCACTCAAGGATTAAGAAATAGATGAAAGAACAGGACATACAGATGAGAATCGAGAGCGCTGAGAATTGAACGATACAACATGGCAAGATATCTCACTTTATCACATTATAAACCACGAAAATTTGCATCTAATATGATAAAATATAATGCATGAAAGCAAAGAAAAAAGTAATAGTGAAAAAGGTATTGAACTGAGTATTGAACGGACAGTAAAATACATTTGAATAACTATTTGTATGGAGAAAGTACTGGCTTGATAGTGGGGTAAACTTTATAAGTTATAAACAAATAGAATACAGTATTGGTAACGAAAGCGAAGGATTCGAAAAAAAGTAAACTATGGATAACATTGGCCGCGCATTTACAAATTACCATGGAAAGTAGTATATGCTAAACCTCACCTTTAGAGACATAACTACAACGTCAATTGGGAAGGGGGGAGGGGTGATATTCATATGTTCAGATGTGGCGAAAAACAGGAGAAAACTACATATATGAACACCCCCCCCTAATTAACGCTCTAGTTACGCCTCTGCCCCTTCCTTGTGCTATGCAGTCTCTGGATTAGGGAAGGAACTGTTGATTAGATTCATTAGAGAGTACTAATTGAATGATAAGTTAAAATATGGTTAGAATATGGAGCATTGCTTCCTGAATGAAATATATATGATCAAAAAAAACCCAACTATCAAATAGTGAGAAATGGAACAAGGATAAATGTTGGAGAGTATGTTGATTGTCCCAAAAAGATTCAGTAGCGGATCCAGTGTACGTCATTATAAATTATAGCTCGTAAGAATAAATGTTGGAGAGTATGTTGATTGTCCCAAAAAGATTCAGTAGCGGATCCAGTGTACGTCATAATAAATTATAGCTCGTAAGGATAAATGTTGGAGAGTATGTTGATTGTTCCAAAAAGATTCAGTAGCGGTCCAGTGTACGTCATAATAAATTATAGCTCGTAAGAATAAATGTTGAAGAGTATGTTGATTGTTCCAAAAAGATTCAGTAGCGGATCCATTGTACGTCATAATAAATTATAGCTCGTAAGGATAAATGTTGGAGAGTATGTTGATTGTTCCAAAAAGATTCAGTAGCGGATCCAGTGTACGTCATAATAAATTATAGCTCGTAAGAATAAATGTTGAAGAGTATGTTGATTGTCCCAAAAGATTCAGTAGCGGATCCAGTGTACGTCATAATAAATTATAGCTCGTAAGAATAAATGTTGAAGAGTATGTTGATTGTTCCAAAAAGATTCAGTAGCGGATCCAGTGTACGTCATAATAAATTATAGCTCGTAAGAATAAATGTTGAAGAGTATGTTGATTGTCCCAAAAAGATTCAGTAGCGGATCCAGTGTACGTCATAATAAATTATAGCTCGTAAGAATAAATGTTGAAGAGTATGTTGATTGTTCCAAAAAGATTCAGTAGCGGATCCAGTGTACGTCATAATAAATTATAGCTCGTAAGAATAAATGTTGAAGAGTATGTTGATTGTTCCAAAAAGATTCAGTAGCGGATCCAGTGTACGCCATAATAAATTATAGCTCGTAAGGATAAATGTTGGAGAGTATGTTGATTGTTCCAAAAAGATTCAGTAGCGGATCAGGTGTACGTCATAATAAATTATATCTCGTCAATTTTTAATTCAAAGTACTTTCAGACAAATACCAAAGGTTTCTACTTTCTGAAGACTACGATTTTACCAATGGACTTGTTTCTAAGATGCTTAGAAAGACAATATACGCCAAAATAAACTGCTCTAGCGAGTTCCTTAGCAACGCAAAACATTGATAAAGAACTAAGGTGCTTCCATTTCGAAAAGACAACAAAGGTGTTTTGATTTTAAAACAAAGACAATAACTGTACTGCGGCCAAAAGCTATTATGATCCAAAAGGACACGAAAACATAGATCACACAATTGAACGAATGACCAATCAGCATGCTTAAACATCTGACAAGCCAAAACAAACTTTACTTGCGCTCTTTCCAAGACTATTGTTCACATCTATCAAGAGAAAAAACATAACACGCAAAATTCACTTAGGAGTGGACAAGTTGATAGCCCATAGACCACATAAGCAAACAAAAGCCTCGAATACAAATTCAATACACATACCTTAAATATCTTTATCCCACGTATTTCCACTCACATTCAGGAGAGCCGGTTGCACGAAGCCTGGATAGCGTTATCCATTGGATAGCAATTTTTTAAGCTTCTATAAAACCTTTTAACAAGCAACGAGCATTCGAACTGAGCAATCACTGAAATAAAATATTGCTTCGAAGATTACGAAATTTCTTTGTCGTAAGAAAAATATAAACACCTTTTTTACAAGTTTGAAAATTTTCGCTATCCAATGGATAACGCTATCCAAAAGCTTCGTGCAACCGGCCTCAGAGTAAACGAAGTCACTGAGGATTTTTAAAAGAGTTCACACATTATAGTTTGCATTGCAATAAATAAAATAAACAACTGCACGTATCCATCTTTAAAATGCAGAAAGTGAAAGGAGAGCTTCCACTTTCTCAATATTTTCCAAACTGCAGTCTTCTAAAATTGATAAAAGCTTACCGAATCAAAATATTAATAATCTTAATCTTTCTTCCGTTTCTTATCAACAAAGCGTGACAGAAGTCATTGAAAAATTTCTTCAGTCATCCTTCGCTAACCGCCATCTTTTCAACACACAAGCCGCCGAGTGGGTACGTTAGAGTGAAAATCAAAATTAAACAGGAAAAATGTACTTGCAATCCAATATTGGCAGGCATAGGAAAAGAGTTAGATTACGTAGCGTTCCAGGCCTTTCCTATAATGAATTGCTATTACACGAAAAAAATATTGAACAGTACATCGTCCACACAAATATGATTATAAAAAAAAACACATTGAGACGCGTGCGCTGATTGGTCTAGAGCTGTGTTTGCATTAGCCAGTGTAAAACACATCTGAGCTCAACAAATCAAATCAATCATAACAGCCAATCAGTCAAAGAGAATTTGCAAATCGATCATGAATACATTTTAGAGGAAAAATTTAAATGTTTGTCTTTTTTCGCATTATTGTTATTTTATAAAAGAAATATAAAATGTTTTTAGTGTTTGCACTGGCTTATGCAAACCTCAGAGAAGTTTGTGAAAACTCTCGAGAATGTGCAACCCTCAACCTTCGGTCTCGGGCTTGCAGTGATCTGCTCTCGAATTCTAACAAAGGTCTCCTCGGTTTGCATTAGCCTGTGCAAACACAGTAAACATCTTTTATTTCTTAAATGAAATGAAATGTTGCAATTCGGAAGTATGCAATAACAAACCGTTGGTACGACCCCAAGAATGTCACCTGAATGGGTTGTGCGAATATAAAAGAAGTCTCAAACGGCGAGTAAGGTTAAAAGAAATACTATATATTGTATTTACAAGAGTGAAAATATATGCTGTGATCTAAAAAACAAGTCTCAAAATTCCACGGTGTTTATATATATAAGTAATAAATATATTGAAAAGTATTTCACACATCGTGCACATCACATACTATGAAAACGAATGTAATGAAATAGCATGTTATTCGTCGGATTTTCTTCTCCTAAAAAGCGTGAAAAATAATTTTTGAAAGAGCAAATACACGTAGTTTGCAGGGACGCCGGAAAGTCGATAATTGTGTGCGTTGGGGGGGGGGGATATATTCATAAATGCATGTTTCGTATGATTACTTTCTTTTGAAATCAATTGCTTTTCCAGATGTGACTACGAATATATGAACCCACTCCCCGACAACTATCGACGTTCCAACCTCCCCTGACTGTTGGAGAGATTGCTATGAACTTACTTTGCGGTGTGATGAATGCTTGGATCCATTTGCCCGGGTCTTCCCTCAATACCATAAGCACACTAAACAGAAAAACACTTTCAATGGAGCATAGGTGAATTATTTTCGACAATTCGTTATCTTGCTGGACGGACTATCAATTATGATATTTTTTTAATAGTTTAGTCATCCTACGCATGTTACGTAAATGTTTTTCAGTGAAGATTTATACCCTTGTTTCAACATCCGTCCAACTTGATGTAGTGTCTTCATCCATTTCCTCGATCTCCTTTGGAAGACTTCGTTTTCTAAGTGATTGAGATAAGTCAATATTCAACAATTACTATTCTTCAGTAAGCAGAAGAGACTAAGTAAAAAAGAATTAAGAGTCTCAACATCAGAACACTCCTAAAAAGGATATCTTTTGAAGTATATAAGAACTCGATTTTCAACATCAGATCACTCATGATGAAGACACTAGACTGGAGTATATAAGAACTCAAATTTCAATATCAGATCACTCCTGATGAAGACACTAGACTGGAGTATATAAGAACTCAAGTTTCAACATTAGATCACTCCTGATGAAGACACTAGACTGGAGTATATAAGAACTCAAATTTCAATATCAGATCACTCCTGATGAAGACACTAGACTGGAGTATATAAGAACTCAAGTTTCAACATCAGATCACTCCTGATGAAGACACTAGACTGGAGTATATAAGGACTCAAATTTCAATATCAGATCACTCCTGATGAAGACACTAGACTAGAGTATATAAGGACTCAAGTTTCAACATCAGATCACTCCTGATGAAGACAATACACTGGAGTACATAAAAACTCAAATTTCAACATCAGATCACTCTTGATGAAGGAGATGAAGGAGAATGCCAGATCACGTGAGATGAAAACACGACAAACGTGGATGATTCCTACCTTTCGGGAGGACGGGCAACTTCAAAGTTAGTTCTTAGTGTTTCAACATCTGTAAACTGAACACAACGTCCACCACCAGTGGTCTTGTACACATCTCCCTGGAATGCGACAGATGACAAAAACGTCACCAAACTACGAATCATTCCGAATAAAGATGCGAGTAAAAATCGTGATGAAATCCATTTATTGGTAAACAAACTGTTTTGTTTATAAATTGCAAATTAACGTAAAATCCTCAAATTTGCAATAAACTTTTTTATAGCAATTCTTTGGCTATATGGAAAAAATACCTTGATCAATTTCGTCTCTAATTCGCCTTGGGAATCAGCTTCCTGATGTTCGAGAACATAGTTCGTTGCCTTAAAAATAATAAATCTTGAGTATTTTACAACATTTACTTAAGTCTAAGCATTGTGCGACACTGGGCAGGTAGCTCTTGGTTAAAAACATTAACATTGCATTACCGAACCTGAGGGCGAAAACGAATTGTAAGTCAATATAATGTTATGAAGCACACATGAGTTCCATTATTAACATAAATACTTTAGCTCTTCTGCGATATTGGCCACTCTTACCAAATATTGTTGATCTTACCTAGATATTTTATATCATACTTATACCTGGGATTCTCTGAAATGCTTTCCTTCGGGAACAGACACGGTCTTTTTATTTTTCAAAACAGGACGAAGAATGGTTTCTGGACAAAAAAAAAGTCGAAGATTTATCAGTTGGGTAGTTAAAGGTGTCCATTTTGTCAATGGTGTAAAAAGGTCGAATGTTGAAGTAAGATGGTGTATGAAGCTTCGATAAACGATGATGGAAGTAAATAATTTGGAAACATATACAAGATCAACATCCTTTACCATGAGTATGAGTAATGTAATGGTCGTAAGGCAATGGACAATTTACCCTTCCAACGTACCGGTCTCAAAATTTATACAAGATCAACATCCTTTACCATGAGTATTAGTAATGTAATGATCATATGGCAACGGACAATTCACCCTTCCAACGTACCGGTCTCAAAATTTATACAAGATCAACATCCTTTACCATGAGTATTAGTAGTGTAATGGTCGTAAGGCAATGGACAATTTACCCTTCCAACGTACCGGTCTCAAAATTTATACAAGATCAACATCCTTTACCATGAGTATTAGTAGTGTAATGGTCGTAAGGCAATGGACAATTTACCCTTCCTACGTACCGGTCTCAAAATTCTCAGCTGGTTTATGCTCCAGCCAATAATCTGTTGATCTTGAACGGCGATGACGCAGCTTCGGAACGGGCTTAATTCGAAAAGAAAAACAAACACAAATGTTTCTCAGATTCAAATTGGAATCTGTCTTCCATAGCTCAACAGTGCTCTTACTGACACTCTAACCTTCATTTTTTGAAGCAGTAGACATCATGAAACAATACCGGGTCACACATTTTTTAAAGCAGTAGACATCATGAAACAATACCGGGTCACATATTTTTTATGTTGATAAAAGTGTTACACAAGAGTCTATTGCATATTCTGTAGCACCTAAGCCCCCCTCTATAAGATAGTAAAAACCCAGTTACTTTCACATCACCACATATCATACAGTCCTCTCCTGTAGCACCAACATCACCCTCAATCATTTGGTCAAACCCAGTTACTTTCACATCACCCTCAATTATACAGTCCTCTCCTGTAGCATATACATCACCCTCTATCAAATGGTCAGTAACACCTAATACCACCCTCCTCAGATAGGAGGCACCATGTTAAGTTATCAATATGTTATCAACTTATGAAGATGAACTCGATAGAAAATTATTGCCAATTCAGCACGATCATAGATGGAAGAACACATAACAACATATAAGAGCTAGAAGTCAAAATATTACTACCTTCTTGGCAACAGGAGGAGGAGAACGAGATCTAAAGAACCCTTTACCACGCCCTATAGCTTTCCCATTCTTCTTTTCACCCTATATCGAAGATGAAATGAAGAAAATGCAGTAAGTTCAATTGCATGGGGAGGGGAGGGGACGGGGGGATGCAGTACTTTTGCAAGTAATGATTATGCGGGGAAATGATGCACATGATTACGTACTGCGAACATAAAAAACCTGGGACCCCACTTATGTACTTAAAAACCTCTGTATTTAGAAAGCATGGCGGCCAGCCCGCAACTTTAATCATGACATGTAAATTTCAGGACATCGGCGCTGTTCATTTTTTTGGAAATCTTCATAGCATAATCAATAAACAGGCAGGCTACACCACTGTACATAAATTTATGTTTGGAATGATATAGAATGCATTTAGAAAATAAATACAATTTTGTGTTCAAAACCCAAAGAATTCCATCGACAATGATACATGGGACGAACAGCACACGTTCGGGAATCATGATTAACTATCTTCTAAAATATTCCCAGGGTTCGTACACTTTTAGCGAAAAAAAATTCCAGGACTGTCAACGACCAAATAAACAAAATTAACGACCTTCGTGACAATTCACGCATTTCGAAAAATTACTTTAAATTCGCCACATCCTATTGGTTTCATTTAATCACATGGCTTTAGACTTTCAAGAGCCGAAAGCAATTTTCCAGGTTTTCCAGGTCTGGATTTTTAATTTATTTTTTACCAGGACTTTCCAGATTTTTAAGCACACCTGAACCAACCCTGTATCCTCCCCCCCCTTCAAGAAAGATATGCCAGTAGTCTTACTTTGTTTACAATTTCCTTGAGCTGTCGTAGCTTCTCTTCGCTTTTAATAATCTTCGTTTCCATTTCCATTTCTTTATCCTTCACTCTTTTATCCTAGATGAAACCAAAAAAAGCGAAAGTTATCGACAAAACAAATGGGGAAAATCGAACTTTGAAATAGTAGATAAATGGTTCACGAATTCGCTATTGCCAGTACCAACCAGTACCAAACTCTAGCAAAATTTCCTTCTGCATACAGGAAGTTAGTTCTATGACGTGAAATAGTAAGAGTTACATACACATTCTTTTTGCCACTTATCTCTTTCCTGGGTCACAACACCTTTCCAAGTCTAAAAATATTACAGTGAACTACATAAGATTGATGGAAACTAGCAAACTGGCAGAAGACTTTCAGTCAACATTGTGTCACATCTTATGTAGACGCAGCCATAGTAGACACCATTATGTGTTCGAAGGGAAATGCTAAAACCCAAATTTTTCTAACACAGGAATGTTTGGACCGAGCAACTTTGTTCAAGGAGCAGCAGCATACGTAGCAAGCTTGCAGAGTTGGTTTCGCTCTGTAATTCTTTATGGATTTAGGGGAGAGATGCGCACCTCCCCTAGTGTGCAGGAGGGTTGTAACTTTTCTAACAAAATGCTAATATTCCAAACAGTTAAGCAACAAGGGCAAGATGCGCACCACCGCAAAAGCAATTTTGATAGACGTGTAATGGAGCACATATTCAAAAATCTTCCAATCATAATAAAAAAAAGATAACAGAATTTGCCAACAAATCCCGACATGCTACAGTAACAAGGATCCAGCGAAATCTAATTCAAACTAGAGCTCAACCTCCCAATCCCCAAAAAACAGCCATCAGCCATCGTGAATCCATCCCTTAGTAAATATCGGGCTGGTTAAGCTACTGCCATGGAGTCCATATTTAGGGAACACAGTGTTTTGCTTTCGCAAGACCAGCTCTTACTTGTTTCAATCGTATACGATCCTGTTTCTCTTTACTGATTGCCTTACGTTGTTCGTCAAGCTGAAAACAAACGCAGAGTTTATAATTCAATTATTCACGAAGTCCTTTATAAACATGCACCTGCCAAACAAATTCCATGATAACGAATTACCTCAGTTTGCAGATCTCTAGCGTTTTCCTCATATTGTTGGTTCGTTTTCTGTAATACGTCGTTCTGCGGAATAAAGCAATGTACAATATATGTTTCAATTTATGACAATTCCGTATTCCATTCCAGCTAAATTCCATACAAAGTTCGTGCATTGCTATACCACAGAATAGACATCTAACAGAAGGCGCACTCGGCTAAAATCGTGGCGTATTTTTGCACTACGCATGCGTGACTTCCCAGCAAGATACTTTCACAAAATCAATATGGAATAGTATTGCACGAGAATGCTATTTTACTAATAATTCTCGTTTAAAGCAAAAGTTTGCCGAACTTTTTACAAAATATTATCATCTGGTGAAGGCGATAAGGTTCCAAGCTTTTGAAGTGCAAAACGATGTATTTGTAAAAACATCTATATTTTCTATTGCGATCTAGCTGAAGTATCTTGCTGAAAGGCGTGTCTGCTTAGAATTCGCTTCAGAAAAGTGGGGGACACGAACATCAAAGGTTCCGATACGAGCGGACCTTCTGTTAAGATATCTATTCTGTGGCTATACCAATCAAAATGCAAATTTGGTTTCAAAGCCATTATGATTGGATGATAGCTACATGAACTTCGCAACATTACGTAGAAAATACTAAGAAATTGATTGTGAGAGTGAGTAAGAGAGGAATTAATCTATGGATTGAGAAATGTGTTTCACAAACGTCTCATTTTCATGTTCCACACATTACGCAGAAAGTAATAAGAAATTGATTGTTTAAATGAGAGTGAGTAAGAGATAGGAATTAATCTATGGATCGAGAAATGTGTTTCATAACGTCTCATTTTCATGTTCTACATATATAGCACAGAAAATTAATGCGCAAAACGCTAAGGTCCAACTATTGAGTTCTGAAGATCTAGGCAAGATACACGAAAGTTCTAGCACGATCCTTTTCAGATCTTAACTTAAATAAGATTTGCAAGATCATGCAAAACTGCACCAGACTAAAACAAAGAGTTGTGCGCGTTCAGCCATGATCTAGTTATTTTGAGCAGGAGCTGTGATAATATATGAAATCTAATTTCACCCCCCCCTTATTCCAGCATGTATTTACACGTAAAATTACCTTTATGAGATATAATTCCCCACAAACACTCCAGTATGTATTTACACGAGTAACTACGTACCTTTTGCGTGATTGTCTTTAATTTTTTCTCCAGCCTCTGAATTTCTCTACAAATACGAAAATCGATAATAGACTAATAGTAATATGAATTTACGTACATACTCTCACTTTCCAAGCAAAAATTTCACTTAACGTAAAAATGACGTGAAGAAATTCAACAATGCACAAATACGATAGTTATCGATAAGTGTCTAAATTCTCTTGAAGCACAATTCATTAACTTACAAAGGTGTTTACAGAAATTTATTGACATTGTGTCACGTTGCTAAGTATGTCATTTTTGAGAATAACAAAAAATAATTAATACAAGTTTAAAACTCGCCAATTTTTTATTGTATATCATATATATTGCACATTTATTGAGTTGTTTTTTTATCGATCAATTGACTTCCGCAACAAATACAGAACACACCAGCAAGCAAAACAGTAGTTTTAGGTAAAAACCCTGCAACTGAAAATTGAGGACTTAGATAAAAAATTAGTGATTAATACCTGTCTTTTTCAACATTAGATGCTTGAAGCGTTGATATTGTCTAGAAAAATATGATGAATACAATTAAATTCTATAAATCAAAATCAGCAGCGCCCAATAATCGTTGCTCGTATTTCGTGTGTATGTTTTTAAACACACCCTGTCTTTTTCTGCCATGTCAGTATCTCTCTTTATTACTTCCTGTCGAAATACTGCACCTAAAACAGTGAAAGCAGAAACAATTATAGATAGAGATTTATAACAAAAGCAAGAATACAAAGCGTGCGCTGATTGGTCGACAGCTGAGTTTGCAAATGCCTGTGCAAACTGATCTCAATCAATGGTTTACGAGATGCAAATTTTGCTTTTTTAAATTATAGTTTTATTCAATAGAACTTGTGAATTGACAATGGACTTTCTATACAAATATCTCCTTCCATTCTCAAGATATTCAATTTTTGTAATGTTCGGTTGTGTGTGCAACTAGTGACGTCATATTGCATAATGAACGCCGAAAACTTTCCTAAGTCCTTCAGTTTTCGGGTAGCTTTCGTAGGAAATGCTTAGGAAGTATTTCATAACATTGACACTATTCAACGAAGGCATCTTTGCCCGGTTGAAGTAGTATATCGTCGAGTATACTGGATGATTCAAATTCTAATTATGCAATATGACGTCACTGGTTGAACAAAACGGGGACGTTTTTACGCAAAACAAAAACGTTGATACCTTGAGAATGAAAAGTGATATGTAAACTGCTTTAGAAAGTCTACTGTCATTTTAAAAGTTCTGTTTGATAAAATTATAACTTAAAAACTAAAATTTTCTCTGCATAATCACTTTAAAGATCATTGTCCAATCAATCATAAATAAATGCCAGAGAAAAAATTAAAACATTTGTTTTAAAATTATCTGTTTCGCATTATTGTTGTTTTATAGAACAAAACATGTTTTTCATGTTTGCACTGGCTTATGCAAAACATGGAGACCTTGAGGAAATCTAGACCAACACTGATCAACTCTCGAGTTCTCCCGAAGGTCTCTTCGGTTTGCATAAGCCTGTGTAAACCTTGGAGACCTTGAGGAACTCTAGACCAACACTGATCAACTCTCGAGTTCTCCCAAAGGTCTCTTCGGTTTGCATAAGCCTGTGTAAACCTTGGAGACCTTGAGGAGCTCTAGACCAACACTGATCAACTCACGAGTTCTCCCAAAGGTCTCTTCGGTTTGCATAAGCCTGTGTAAACCTTGGAGACCTTGAAGAACTCTAGACCAACACTGATCAACTCTCGAGTTCTCCCAAAGGTCTCTTCGGTTTGCATAAGCCTGTGCAAACCTTGGAGACCTTGAGGAACTCTAGACCAACACTGATCAACTCTCGAGTTCTCCCAAAGGTCTCTTCGGTTTGCATAAGCCTGTGTAAACCTTGGAGACCTTGAGGAACTCTAGACCAACACTGATCAACTCTCGAGTTCTCCTAAAGGTCTCTTCGGTTTGCATAAGCCTGTGTAAATCTTGGAGACCTTGAGGAGCTCTAGACCAACACTGATCAGCTCTCGAGTTCTCCCAAAGGTCTCTTAGGTTTGCATAAGATGTGCAAAGCCAGTAATCATTTCTTCAGTAATACACGCAAATCAAAATCCTCTAGTACATACGTGTTCTGTCCAAGTCTCTTTGAAGCGTTACTCGCATTTTTTCTCTTTCTTCCAGATACTTGATTAGATTCACGAGCGTGACACAATCCTCAGGACTCGTTATCTGTCGAAGAGCACGTGACAAGACACGAGACGAGTGAATTGGTGCAATTGATTTATAATAAGAGCAAGTTTGAAATGTAAAAAACTCTACCTCCATCAAAGGAAACGGTGGAAATGTGATCAATGGCTTAAGGTCAATTGCTTTGTTGATGGCATCTGAACAATAAAAAAAGTCACGGTGAGAACCATACAATAATGGTGCAATGTCGATGGTGATTGCCTAAGAGGCTACAGATAATCTTCGATGTCTTGCCACCTACAAAACATTGAAGATTATCTGTGACAACCATTGAACTAAAATACATGGAACGCCACCTGAAGCAAATAATTGAAGCCTTAATCTTACACACAGACACGCGAGATTACACCGAGACACGCGTGTGTAATGTTTCGAGATTCTCTCGCGAAGTAAAAATTGATTGACCACACACGCGTGTCTGGGGGTAATCTCGCGAGTCTGGGTGTAAGATTTGGCTTCAAAAAATTATTAGGCTTTTCTATTACAGGTGGCGTTCCATGTATTTTACCTCAATTATGACAACTGAAAACACAAAAATTATTATGGCGTGGTTTTTCTCGAGATTTGCAATCGTTCAACTAACGGATTTCGCTCGGATTTTTGAGAATAAGGACTCCAATACGCGACAAGAGCTACACTTGTTAGAGAGTTTTCAAATGTGAAAACACTGAAGCAAACCAAAAAAATTGTAAAAATATCTAAGCACGAAAAACTTTACGGATTCAGTGTAAAATAGGTTAAAGCTTGTGCGTTTATAATTATATAATATAATATATATTTGGAATAACATTGAAATAAATTTGGCTTGGAATAACATTGAAGATAAAAGAAAATATCCATTGCATGCATAAACTTTATAGATTTAATATTTTTATTTTTATATAGCTCATACTTTGTTTTTTCTGTTTATTTTATACCTAGATGTAGTATACTTTTTAATTTTCTTTTATCACACGGCTATCTGAAAATCAACTTTTTTATTTTTTATATGTAGTTGTATTTTAGGATCCAAGTTGAGATACTACCGTGTTTAAATAAATGTAAATAAATAAATAAATAAATAAATAAATAAATAAAAACAATCAGCTTCGCTTTGACATATAACATTGACTTCGGTCGGAATGATTTTTGATATCATGCTCAACCTCATCCAATAATAGTGAATTGTTTAACAAAATTGAACATTTACCGGTTGCATCATCTTTAATGTTTTGCAAGGCTTGTTTGTAGAGCTCGTTGGCTGGAAGAAAAGAAAAAAATTTCAAAATCAATTGTGTATGTAAGATTACCATTTCGACGAAACTAGAAATTGATACCTTTCCTTCGTCCGGGAGCAAGTCCTATGTTGTAACTGTTAGTAAAAAAAGATGTACGTATAAAGATATAACATAATCTATGTAAAGTATATTGCAAAACAAAATCATATGAATGGAGTGCTCGATGCTTGTACAGAGCGCTATGATAAAAAAATTTACGTATAAAGCAGGGGTCTCCAAACTTTACAGCCAGAGGGCCACATGAACTTTCATTATGAAGCATTGAAACATAAAAAATTTCCACGTTATCCTTCAGCTTTTTAAATTTCGCAATGTGCTCGAAAACTGAAGTAGGAAGTTGGGACACAAATTGACGTAAGCCACTCTTGCAAGTTGGCAACATCATAACGTGAACTTTCTGCACAAAGTTTATTTTGTTTAATAATATTATTTTATTTTCTTAAGTGTCTTTGCGGGCCGGATTGAGAGGCCCAACGGGCCGCATCTGGCCCGCGGGCCGTAGTTTGGAGACCCCTGGTATAAAGATATAACATAATCGATGTAAAGTATATTGCAAGACAAAATCATGTCAATAGAGTGCTCAATGCTTGTGCAGAGCGTTACGATAGATAATTAAATATAGTATATATTTATATTTGCATGGCAATAGTTTTGAATGAAATTCTTTATCTATTTGAATGAAATAGATTAAATAGGGGATAAGAACTATAGATATATATCATAAATACTTTATTCCGGTAGGTCGAGCCACGACTACTTCTTGTGTTATTTCAGCAAATCTCATGACGTGCTAGAAAATGACGAAGAATTTACGATAGAAATATTCACCACTGTTCATGATGAATATAAGTATTTTCCTTGGTCGTTTTTGAGACATCGAAATATGGGAATACAACAGTCATGACGATGTATTTAGGGGAGAGGTGGGTACCCTTTCTAGCTCTGGCGAAAGGAGTGCCAATTACCCTATAAAATACTGCGTGATATACAAAACTATTAAGCGAAAGCAATTGTGATTAGTGTTTAATGGACCACACTAAATTGAAGCACAATCATAATAAAAAGATAGCAACACTTGACAAACGCCATACATGTTATGGCAACAAGTAGTCAGAGAAATTTCACCCAAACTAAAGCACCCTCCCCCCCCCCCCACAAAACCATCAAGGTTCCATTCCTACATGAACTCGAGGTAAAACAAGATAAATTAACAGTATCCAACCACCTACCACGCTTTCATCATATTCTTTGGCACTTGGATTCAGACACACGACCATCCTAACCTAAAGAGAAAAGATAGTGAGTTACAGAAATTTAACCACTAAAAAAGACGTTTTTCCCAATACATCGCATAACAGATATAGCAATATGTAATACCTTGCCTTCACCATCAAAAAAATTCTTGAAGAGATGAGTCAGCCTACTTTCGCGATATGGCACCATCTGATGGTATAAGAAAATTTGATAATACACGGTACGATTTTATAGGTCAGTAAAGATCGATTACTGTATGGTTAAAAGTTTTGCACACGACCCGCGAGATATACATAGAAACAATTGACCAATGAGCTCATACACCGCGGTTGCTTTGAATCAAGTTTAGTAAAAATTTTTTAAGATCACAACGACATAAAAAGGATAGTTGAAGAGGACTTTATACAAAGCCAACAATGTAATTAACATTCTTAAACGGAAACACATTCTATGATCGTTTCAAATTGCAATTTATATAATTGACTGAGCATACTTTTCCCGACTGACCGCCATCTCCGTTCGATTGGTTCTCACGCAAGATCTCGAGACATGACCGTAAATTCATTAGATCCTTGTTGATGTTACCTAAAAAATATATCCAAATCAATGATATCAACGACTTGATGAAGACTAATAACAATCAAAGTTAAACACTTTACCAGCTTCTTTTAGTCTTTCTCCATCGGCTTTGGTTCTGTTCGTTCTTTCTGAGCCCGCAAGATCGCACATGGACAGCGTACTAACGCGCACCTCATCTTTCTCCTGCAAGAACACCACGCATTTAAACGCATTACTGCACAAACAACAGTTCTAGCTTAGCCAAATGCCTGGGAGAGTAATATCCACATTGTCACATCCAAATTATACATGTATATTTACATCTTTACAACTTTAATCACTGCAGATATCACTTATACAGCAAAACTAACGTTCTTTTATCAAGTATTGAAATAAACCAATACCCAAGTGTTCAATTGAATATTAGATTTGCAAAAACATCGACAACCCCCCCCCCCAACGTTTGTGTTTGCACACGTACCAACAGAACACTTTCTCCTTCCGGATCAAGAGGAGCTTGCACCAATTTCAATGTAAAAACACTGTGACTACGGCTTGACTGCATGTTCAACTGTGTGTTCGCAACACGACGCTTCTTTTGACCTGCACGAAAAAAAATCGACATTTAGGATGATCAAGAATAACCAGATAAGGATTACAATCAAGTGTCCAATATATGCTACAATATATTAATGTATGCTACCGAGGGAAAGAATGGTACATTAATGTATACTACCGAGGGAAAGAATGGTACATTAATGTATGCTAACGAGGGAAAGAATGGTACATTAATGTATGCTACCGAGGGAAAGAATGGTACATTAAGTGCTTTAGTATATAGATCATAAATTTTCAATAAAATCGACGTCTTTCCGGGGCGATTCGTCCAACGAATTTTCGTTGCAAAATGCTATAAGTGACCAAAGCATTTTTTGTCGCCTTCCAAGTGTTTTGTAAATCCTTTCCTAATAATAGCTGAAGTTCGTCACGTATCAAGCTCAAGAAATGTTTTAGTTCTCGGCTCTATAGCTGTTTTATTTGTAATAAATTCAAAACGAGCGAGCAACAATTTGTTTCTCTGGGGGGGGGGGACATTGTATTTCTTTTAAGTCAGGTGACCACGAATGAGCCAATCACATTCAACATACACAGCACGTGTGTATAGAAACAATTTCACGTCATGCTAAAGCACCTATATTTCATATGATGCCTACCTTTCCAGAACATGGCGTAGGCATCCTCGGTGCTTTTCACCTCGACTTCTGTGACGCCCTGTACGTACATGTTACGATTGTTGTCCTCGCGTAGTTGCTTAGAAACGGGAGGTCTGGAATACATTGTTTTTTTCGTGTTAGTCAACATAACTCAGTAATAGACGGTACAGTATTAAATAGAGCTTGATATTATGCAGCCTCGCACAAGAGAAATTGAATATATTTTAAGCAGCAAAGGGGGCAGATCAGTGCTCACTTGACAGGGAGGGTACTAACTTTCCAAGAGAACGGGGTGGGGGCATCGATGTCCTGGTTAAAGTTGCCTCCAGGCATTGTATATGTTTTAGGTTTACAGATGTGTGAACCTTTTATAATGAAAGTATTATTAGCTTATTAACAGAATTTTAAATCGTTTTTATTCATGAATAGTGGTTCGAAGTTTAAATTATGTACGCAAATTAATAAATCCTAGTTGTGTAGCTGTACGGTACGTAATACCATTTTCAATTTTTTCTCGAGGGGTGCCATTAAGTCCGTGGGGTTTCCCCCTCCACCCATAAAATCCACCCCCGAGCAACAAACAGAACACAAGAGCTAGTATTTAGGAAAATTTTTGTATATTGAAGCGATACTAATTCATCGTGTTAACCGAATTTTAACGTCACTTTATCAACTTCAACATAATGAACATTCTGCTTGTATTGGAGAAAACGGCTGGGATACAGGATACCCAACCGTGTAGCTGTAAATGTGAGAGGAAAATACGTAAATAATTCATTTATCAAGTGAAAATTCTTACTTTGGACATATCACATCTTGTTTGATGTCTTCGAGTAGATCATAAATAAAGTTATTGTAGATTTCCACGTACGACACAAACACTGCGTAACCGTTATCTTCGTCCACCTACGAACAGGAGAGAACATAAAATCATTTTAATAAATGAATGTCGGAGCCGACTTGGGATAATATGAAGAATCTTTCGAAGCAATTAGAACTTAGATTTTAGATGTTGTGTACCGCAGTGAGTCAGTGTGATGGAAACATTCTCCGACGATTGTAATTGAGAGTATATTCGAAGTTTTATTTGGGATAATTAAACTCTATTTTTAAATCGAGAGTTTGGGTTAGTGATCAGTCGAGGCTTATAGCTTTGGAGACAAAAAATTCTGTGGAGACGTATAAAGAAACGGCTGTTGCACACGATGATACGTTGAAAAGTAGCTATCGAAATTCAAACCAGAGTTATCGGAATGTTTTTATCCATACATCGAGGCTGTGGCATGCTGTCAGGATTTTTTTCGGCGCCACAAGAACTGTTTTAAGGAACGAAAAAACAACGCGAATGCAAATACGTAAACATACCAATGAATTCGTTAATTTCATTTGTCAAGTGAAACAAAGAAGAGTATAAATTTTCAATAAAACATGAAATAGAAAATAACAAATGCAATTACATGAAGTACTGCACAGTATTTCATGTAATTCCACAGGAAATAGTTTGCATATGAATGCCTGCTGCCAGGTAGAGAAATATTGTATGTATTGTATTGAATCCAAAGATTACTGGTGTCAACTTTCAACTATTACATTTTGTGCAAAACCTAGTCAATAACAAACAGTTGTTAGAGTGAGGATTGAGGAGAATGACCAATTCCTAGTTTAAAGGAAAACGTTCCTCCATATCCACAAACGGTTTTCCCGCTAATAATGGCAGACGTTAGATTAAGTGACGAACATGATCGATTACAAGTTATGGCAAATGCTTCACGAGACTGTAAGCTACGAGCATCTGCAAGTTACGGTAACCTAAAAAACTCGAGCATGTCAACGCTGCTGCTCGACTCAAGCATACGGCCGTGTTACTATCTCTTACAAATACTCGGAATGTGGAGACCCAAACGCCAAATCACGAACAAAAACATAGAAATTGCATTGAAAGTGTACGAATGGATAACATTCTTCATATGGCTTGTGTCTTTAATTGCCGTGATGTCTTTGGACTTTATCCATTACGGTTTCGCAGTCAGGAAAATTCACTTCGCAGACATCTTAAACAGCATCCCCACATGTCTCAATTTACTTTGTCCTTTCGTTTTCACCCGTGTCTATCTAAGACGAGGACAATTCTTAAGGCTCGTCTTCAGCGTGCAACATCACTCCATACTATACCGAAAGAAACTACGCAGAAAAGCCATATTATATACCATCGTCTCCTATACACTTTGGCTTCTGGGTGGAACCTTTTTCTTCTTTCATTGGACCCCATTCTTTTCACGTCCATGGCAATATGTCATTTATACAGTGGTTATCCTATATACGACGGGATGGTGGGCTGTATGGTTGAGTATTTACGCTTTTGTTTGCGACGTACATTGCCTGCAGGTCGAAATTCTTAACGAGAGCATTCGAAACAGGAACGTCAGTTTAGTCAACGTACTCGACGAGCACCAAAGATTACGAGGTTTCTTGGAAAGAACGCAAAAAGATTTCAATCTAATAATATCGTTTGCCGTTAGTTATCACATTTTCGACATCATCGTTTTTAGTTTCGCGTATTTCGATCAGGCCTTCGGTAAGAACTATAAACTCTGGCAATACTTATTGGGAGTAGCCTTCGATTTGATCACTATCCTCATAAAGCTGTTCCCACCTGCGCTGGTGGCAGCTGCGGTTCATTGTTCTATCACAGAATCCTCCAAACGATGCCATGTTACACTTGACGTGCACGATTTGCCTCAAGACGCCATGCAATTGTTCCAATACATGGTTAGCTGTGAACCTGACATGGGTTTGAAAATCCTTGGCATTCGCATCACCATTGAAATTGTTGGTACAATACTCATGACGTTAGCGACCGGATGTGTTTCTTTCGTGGCTTTTATTGTTCCACGACTAATTAACGACACAATGTAGATTGTATCTGCATCACCCCCACAATTCTCTTTTAAAAAGTGTGGTGGAAGAAGGGGGGTGTATCTGCATCACCCCCACATTTCTCTTCTAAAAAGTGTGGTGGAAGAAGGAGGGTGTGTCTGCATCACCCCCACAATTCTCTTTTAAAAAGTGTGGTGGAAGAAGGGGGGTGTATCTGCATCACCCCCACAATTCTCTTTTAAAAAGTGTGGTGGAAGAAGCTGTGTGTATCTGCATCACCCCCACAATTGTCTTTTAAAAAGTGTGGTGGAAGAAGGGGGGTGTATCTGCACCACCCCCACAATTCTCTTTTAAAAAGTGTGGTGGAAGAAGGAGGGTGTATCTGCATCACCCCCACAATTCTCTTTTAAAAAGTGTGGTGGAAGAAGGGGAGTAGACAAGATATCTCAGTGCATGCAATAGCAGTTTTCATGGTGTTTTACAGTTTTATAAATTTTTACACAAGGTGAAATAATTGCTTTTCATAAAAATGGGGGTGAGGTGGGAATACTTCCTCTCAGTCTTCTTAAGATATTGCAATTTCGACCCCAAAGTTCAGCTAAAAAAAAAACATACTGCAGGCTGGAAATAATTTGATAATGGTACTTACATCTTGAAACTTAAAGCAGTCGGGTATTCGAACCATATCTGCAATGTCATCGTCACTGTTTCTAAAGGAAAGAAATAATTTGTCAGTCTTTTGTTCAAGAAGTATTTTGGGGTTGTCAATATTCAGAGCAAATATGTATGATATGTCAGCACTAAGTAAAATACCTGTTTCTTGCTAAGGATGCCATTGCGGCAATTTCTTTTTGCTTTCTATCATGATCTAATTTAGCATCAGATTCACATTGAACATCCATACCATTGCTTTTGTCCGGTACAAATATCTGTTTGCAACATATTCAATAAGTATGTGGGAAATTTTTCAATAAACATAGCCACAAATGAAATCATTTCATTCATGAAGTGAAATAATAAACAATCTAAATAACTTTTCCTAAAAAGCATGAAATAGCAAATGGTAATAAATGTTATAAGTACAGGATGCTATGAGATTTACATATTTAAAGAACAGAAGTATCAACAAAAAACTAGTTTAACAATGTGCAACAGCATGTTGTTGACAAAAGCCCATCGATCATAATGGCTGACTATTGAGCAATATTTTGAATAAACTAAAGAACAGAAGCATCAACAAAAAACTAGTTTAAGAATGTGCAACAGCATGTTGTTGACAAAAGCCCATTGATCATAATGGCTGACTATTGAGCAATATTTTGAATAAACTTATAATTTTGCCTTTTATATCATTAGCATGCCTACTGCCATGACGAAATATATTTTATGCAGGCATTGTCAACATCAAGATTACGTACACAAGGCTTTGTTTGAAATCCTCCAATGCTATTAAAGAGAACATCTAGTGCTCGGGGTAGAAGTCCACCATCGCTTGGTTCACCGGTCATAGTGTACGTTTTCCCAGATCCAGTGATTCCATATGCAAAAATAAGCCCTAAATAACATGGTAATGTAGCATCAATAACAATGTGTACGTTCATCATATATTAGAGGGATGTTGTCAACAGTAAAATTCAATAATGCTATTGTCAGTGATGATTTCAAATGATAGAGATATTACTGAGAAAAACATCAGACAATTTTGCAATTCACGACAGTTGGCTTTTAAACACAAGTTCTTTATGAGCGCATTAAAAAACAATGGGCACTCTAAAATGTTTTACAAGAGGTATACAAGCAAACAAAATCAAATAGTCCAAAGCCCATGCAGTTTTGCTGCCTTTAGTAACAAATTACAAACTGTTACATACCATTTTTTCCATGAATCAAGTCGTGAACTATGTCACAAGCAACTGTATGAAACACAGTCTTCTGATTATTGTCTTCGTCGAACACTTTCTTGAAAGTATGTTGAGTCTAAAAAGTCAAGATGAACCCATAAGATTTTGAAGAAAAGACTGTGTAGTTCCATATTCAATATCACGGCAAAAGTTGCAACAGACTTTGTAAACACACAGTTATACTTAAAGGTTTATTTACATTATTTGAGAGAATGTTTACACCAACTTACGGCCGTAACTCTGTGTCCAGATTTATATCCTTGAGAATTCTGTAGACAAAACGACATTTTAAAAAATCACCAAGGCCACAAGGGCATACAAAGCAGGTATTTCAGATAAAAGCAATGTCGATTTAAGCTCACCTGCGGTGGGTTCAGTTGAATTGTATTCTCGCTAATGACCTCGACGCAAATTTCGGCATCGTTATCGTTGAGAGGTCGGATGCGACAAAATACCTTTTAATATACAAAAAATCGTATATTGAATGATAAATGCCACGATATGGAAAGGCAGCCCTTAAAATAAGCCTTGTCTACCAGTAAACCAAAGTGCTTTCTAAGCGTTCTTGCTTATTTGAACTTTCGTTGTCGAAATATAAAATACATATGAAAAGCACGATACATAGTCAACAAACCTCTACTGGATCAGACGGTTTCGACTTAGACGACTTTCGTGGCGTTTTCTTTGGTGTTTTACGGGGATAAGGCGAAGGAGTGCTACGAAGAATGCAAGAAGAATATTTTATTCACGCCCGGGAACAGAAATATTAAGAAAAATTAGCTGTATACCTTGAAGATTTCATGTCAAAATCGAGAAAAATTGCGTATTGGATTCTTCGAGTTCTTTCTCCTTCGACAACTTTGAATATAACCGCGTATTCTTTGAACGGACCAATCAAAAGCGCTCAAATATTGATCCTAAATTAACCCTACGACACCCTTAGCTCACACTGAGCTTTTACATAGCTGGAGTCAAAGGCTGAAGTGCAATGACAAGAGTGCTCTAGACCAGTACGTATAGTACTAATAGGGTGTGTGTGTGTGGGGGGAGGGGGGGGGGAGAAGGCGAAATGAGCCTGGCGAAGCTGAATATATGATTGTTATAAATACATTTGTATCAGGAAAAATTTTTCCTCATAACAAAAGGTAATGCAGTGGAAGAGAAATGAGCAAAATTAAAGATAAAATCCAAACGTAAGAGATCTCATTGTCAAACAAAAACACAGGTGGTTAAAATGAAACGGGGAAAAAGAAAATTGAATCTTCTACCGAAATAGATCGAAACAATACTCAACACCACTTTGGTCTGAGTTCAAACCTTCTTCTTGCCTGGCATGTATTGCAGAAGCTTCGGAAGACATCGATAAATGTTTGGTGAGTGTTTTTGCCTTAGATCGTACTCCAGCAACAACCAAACAAATTGTACTTGAGACATTGACAGCCAAAGGCCCATAGCGGAATACACTGTGTGTCAAACTTATAAATGGATGGTTGAAAGGGGGGTTAAACATAACAAGCAAAACACAAATTACGTTTTAAGATTAAAATGTCATGTGATTCTAAATAGTCGTTGAAATGCAGCAATGCACTTGACAAAACGCCATTATTTTGGACTCAAAACTGCAATACAATCTCAGATTAATTCGCTTCTATTTAATGCATTGGGACAATCTTCAATGGCCTGTTGCATGGTTATAAACGTGAAATTTTGTTTATCGAGGAAGATGCAATCCTATCACCAGATTTCATTGAGGTCATGTAGTGCGCAAGCGAGATAAAAGCGTCGTAACCAAGAAAGTACCTTACACTTTGCACTTGGGGGTTGGGGTGGAAAGAACATCATGATCAACGCGCAACCGGACACGTTTGGTCGTGCGGACGTTGCGAGCCTTGCGCAGGATAGCGTACGCCAGTTCACGTGGTTACGTATATTCGACGACATGTGTTATCGGTAGAAATGTAGCAATCTTGTAAAACAAGATCTGCGAACATGAGCACGCAATACATCATGAAATATAGACAGTGAAATGTAAAATATGAATATGGATAGCAGTAACAATACAGCCCTTCAATAAATTATCATTGGCGAAATGGTAATGAATTTTTGAAATTAAATATGATGCAAAGCAAATGTAAAGCACGGGAGATAATTATGCCGGGAGTTGACAGTCGGCTTTAGAGACCTTAAGATTTTCGCCATGATGTACAAGTTCAATCTCCTCAGTTTTGCATGCATTCACAACCTCCGCAAGTAGTTTATCAATGTACTGGTACTCTTTCTTTTCTTTCATTGCTTTTACAACCCATTGCTTCTGTGTTTTAGCAAAAATCATTTTGTAACGGTCTTGCCCTTTGTTTGTCCCTGACTTAATGACTGCTTTATCACGTTTAATATTGTTGTTGTGATCTAATGCTGCTAACTGAGTGCGGGCTACCATCCCAGGAAATGAAAAATGCTCTCGCTTTGGGCAATATTTCAGTAAAAGGGAATGGTAAACCTCCAACTCTCCTGTGTGACAAAACTCAGATAGCTTCCGCAGGTCTCTTAGAAGCCTCTTGTCACATATCACCTTCTCTGCAGCGATATATGCTTGTGAAGTAGGAGATAACCACTTCTTCTGCTTTGTTTCTTTTTCTGTTAATTGTTGGTGGCAACATTGATGAAAATATGTGTTCCCCTTCCAGAAATGCTTGTTGGAAATGTGGTTAAGGACAGACTTCCATTTTTCCACCAATTCTTCTGCATTCTTGTTACAACTTGCAGAGCACCACCAAAGATGATTAGAAATGGACTTAATCCAATGGGTCAAGTCATCATTTCCCTTAATGTTAGCCTTCTTTGTTAGTTTTTTTGTGACAGATTTAGACAAATGCCACACATCATATTGGTGATCAATATGAGGGTGTTCGTTTTTCATAGCACTGGCAATTTTTACAATGGTTTTATGTAGGATTTTTTTCTAACCGTAATGAGTTACACAACCATGTTTATTATTATTCAATGTTTATTAAGGGCAATAGATTGGTTTCACATCAGTGGAAACTGTTGTTAAGGTTGAATTCGGAGGACAAGCAAACGGCATTACGCACAGTTTCCACACAAAGAAACCTTCGTATTTTTTAAAAAATAATATTAATCGACATTCAAGTTCTATATGTAGTGCGGAAACTGTGCGATAATGGCCTTTATGGATGTGAAAACGTTTTATTAAAACAGAATACAAATAACCAGCTCAATACTTGCATGTAAGCTATAAAAGTTGCTTGTGTATATACCTACGAATAAAAAATTCTGACGTTTCGAAAAGAAACATTTTGTGATTAGGAGAAGCATTTTGACGCAAGTTTATTATGACAATGACTTTACATAAAGCTTTGAGGAGCAATTGACGATATGACGTCAATACAAGCCGCTGACATATTTCTGCTCCCACGCACCGGATGCCCTAGCTGCAGCATTTCAACTCATTTTTTGTGAAAATATTGAATCAAACAAACAAAAAAATTGCCGCATATTTATTTTCACGGGACAGACAAAGTTTTAAGACCAACATTATTTTTGGGTGGAGTTCCCCTTTAAGATCACTTTTCAGAGAGCGAGTACTTGTTTCTTGAAATATAGCCTTGTGATGTACCAGTGGCACAGAATATATACTATACAGAAGTTCCACTCTTGAGTTAACTTGTCGCTAATTTTTTATGCGCATGCTCCAATTCCGCCATCTTCCTGGCCAGTCAATAGCTGGCAGCGGTATATAAAACTATATGGTAAGATGCGAAGTGAAGACTGGAAAACGTCGATTTTTTTCAATTGAGGCTGTTCAATCTGATGCGTAATTTATAAAATAGCAAAGGCAAGGTATGTTTTAACTTTTCTGGAAGGTTTAAGGAATCTCAGTCGTACTTTATGCCGACTCATCGTCATCGCATGTTCGATTTGGTCAAACGATCACACTATGAATCTTTATGACACCATACGACTGAACTTTGATGATTGAACTACAGAACATTTATTTGGTGTTTCAGGATATTTTTCTGTGTTATTTAAGAAGAAAACATCCAGGAATATCTGCCAATTTAAAGCTGCACTGTTTAAACGATACCATTAAGACCAATATATTACTATAAATTCTATATAGTTATAGTTTTATTGAACATGTAATTAACATTTTATCAGTGGTTAGGTAGATAAATATACGATATATTAATCTTGTAAATGATCATATACCATTATAATGTATCTGAGAAATAGTGAATTACATAAGAGCATACACACTGGCTGAACTGAAGTTTTGTATTGTTGTTTAAATTTTGGTCAATTACAAAGACAGACATGAGCTAATTGAATGATAAGATAATTTATTACTTACCTTTGGTATACAAATAAATCTTAGTTGGACTAAAAAATAACTTTGACCATGACAAATGGCATCTATGCTGTGTGTTGTAGCAATAGTTGGTAGTTGAGTAATGTATTCTTGCAGTAAATCTCATAGACCAAATTTCCACTATTTATTTTATTTTAATAGAATCCTTCTGCTGTAGTTTTTTACTAGAAATAAATATAAACTGTATGGCGGAACTGTCCTGAGAATTAAAAGCAATGATCTTTAATTTTGTGAATTGTCTTGAAAACCTATGCTCATATTTTATTTTCCTTGTAAACTCAAACAATGCTCAACATTGCTGAATTGATGATTGTATATGCTTTATCTGTAATAGTAGTTTGTTCCTACAGTTTGTTCCTAAATATGATAATTCAAAGTGGAAGTGGTATATGGAAAACACAATTTACAAGTACTTCTTGCAAACTTTACATAACATCAGCTGTGGATTCAAACATTAATTAATGTCTGTTACATGATAGCAACTACTATCATGTAATATCATTATTATATCATATTATAATTTCATATATTACTGCACAATTCTTCATATTATAATTTCATATATTACGGCACAATTCTGCAAAGCTGACTCAAGCATTCCTGTTTTGATTTCTCCATCTAAAAACACAAAAAACTGATGATGTTGAGACAAGGGATTACAAGGAAAAGGAGGTTGGTGACAATTTAATGAAAGAGAATCCAATTGCTTATGTAGCTGGATACTTACTCCAGAAATATTTTGAAAAGCACAAGTGTTCCATATGTGAGTCAGTTATGGTCACAGACCAACTTGATGATAGCAGAAATCTGCTTTGCTACTTCAAGGCATATGAGTCAGACAAGAGCTTTGGCGGTCTCCTTGCACCAAAAGTAGCATTTCATGAATATATAAACAAAATTGAAGACATATTTGTCACAGAATTCTCCACTTATACAAAAAGTGTAGGTATTATGAAAAAGATTCTTCAGCAGCTACAAAAAGCTCCAATCCCATTTGAACAGTGCTCGCATTTTTCAATTGATTATCTCCTCAAACTCTTTCTAAGAATGAGGATTTACTATGCCATCAAGTTTGCGAATCGTGATCTATCAGCCGCCAAGTTCAAAAAAAATAAAAAGTACGTAAAAGTGACTCACCTTTAGAAGGAAAATAAATGAACCCGCGTACACCTCGGATGAATCAAATGAAAGTGACCGTCAAGATTAAACGCTTTTTCAATACATTATGATGCAGGTCATCTGAACTTCTAAACTGCATCAAAGTGCCAAACCACTGTAAGTAAAAAATTCCAAGAGATTTCAAACTTAATGTAATTAACGAGGCAAAATAAGAAAAATTCTATTGACTGCAGTTTACAAAGCTGAGGAGCGGTCACAGTCACAGAACGAAATGTAAGATTTCGAGCTTTACAACACGTTTAATTACATTGTAAAAAAAAAGAAAGACATAGAATATACCTCAAATTTTGTCAAACTCTCGCTAGGAACAAATCTACGACCATATTGAAGAGATACAGGCAAATATTTGTACTTCTCTTTACAGTCCTTATATTGTTTATCAGAAATTGACTGGCTAGGAAGATGGCGGCCGAGATGCGCGAAGCAGCATGCGCGGCCCCAAAAACATCAAAGGCTCCGACAAGAGTGGAACTTCTGTATAGTATATATTCTGTGCCAGTGGCGTGCGGTGACCATTGAGTTCTATAATAACTAGAGCGGCTATCTCAAGCGCGGCCTTAGATATCTGATGCAGTGAACTCGACATTTGAATAACTGGAATGATAACCGAAGCCAAAATTTGAAGCCAAAAAAATATTTGTCGTCATCATTCGTCATTACACGTCAGGCTCTAGTCTCTCGCGTGTTCATTTTAATTTTTTTAATCATTTGTCTCTTGGCAATGGTAGAGTTCGGATCTTGATCAGAGCGTGAAAATAACGAAATTTTTGGAATGAAAAGGTTCACGGAAAGTGAATCAAAGTGATAAATCGAGAAGCAAAGTGAGGTGAACTTGGTCGATCTGCTCTTACGCTGCGGTTTTCCTTTAAAACATATCAAAGTCTTTACGGTAAATGGTTTGAACCCGGGAGTATCGTTACATGTTTGTAAATGTAGATCGTCTAGGTTGGTATAGTCCTGAGAAGGACTGGTTTTGTTGGACAAAGAGAGAAGGACAATCTTAGCGATGACTACTTAGAGTCATTTTTTTGACTCTGAAGATGACTGCCGCTAAGATTGTCGAAACGTCAGTCAACAACAACAAAACAGTCCTTCTCAGGACTATACCAACCTGGACGATCTACATTTACAAACATGCAAAGTCTTTAAGGATATTCAATTATTGATACCGAGATAACAACCATTTAGTATTTCAAGCACTATCAAAATCGATGAAAAATACAATCGCTCTGTAAAAAGTAAAAATGCGAGTTATAGACTCAATATTTTTTATGAAACTGGATATTCAAGTTTCTTTTTTCTTCGGAAAAACAGATCTTTAAATCCACTGAAATGACAAAAAAAGACAAACACTGTCTGACACCGTTTGAAAATTTACCTTCCGATGTAAGAAAAATTTATGCTTGAACATTTTCTCGTCATATTTTCTTATTGTATTGTCTTTTTAGCATACAGTGTAATTTTCAGTTGGCTTTTCCTCGTTACAAGTTGTAAGTTACAACGAACTCACTGTAGTAAAGTTTCAGCTGTAAAAAATAACCTTTTGCGAAGAGTTGGCCTCGTGTGTTGTTTGTCGTGATGTTGTTTATATGTTTATGCTTTTGCAATTTGTATTCAAATTTATATTGGCCGTGTATGTTTGGCACCATTGAGTTCTATAATAACTGGAGCGGCTATCTTTACTGGGGCGAGGTCGCCAAAAAAATGGCGGCCAACGGACGTATTTCCGCTGAAATGATCGCTTTGCAGAAAAATAATATTCTCGACCTCCCCCTGGTGTCTATAGTAAATTATAAAGAATTTTCAAAAAAACACGATATCACAGAATATGGATATCGTTAGTTCCATATTCTGTGACGATTCTTTTTGGCATTTCTTTATAATGCCAACACTTCAATCGTTCAATTGTTGGATGTCGTAGTTTCCACAAAAGGTACATATCGCTTCCCACAGGTGAGGTAGTTGTTTGTTTTGTTAGTCCGTCAACGATTGAAAAGCAATTATACATGCACTTGAAAAGCCATAAATACATATTAAAGATCGTATTTTTAAGACTGACTTGAACGCCAAATATACTGATGTTTTCCTGTTTTGTCTATAAATTTCTGCATTTTTCTGTCATTTGTTAATGCATGAAATCGTAAATTTACCTATCTATTTGCAAAATAGTTTCCTAAAGCAAAAAGACCCTGCACATTTTGCTCTGTGAAAAGTATCAAGAAGAAATGATCAGCCCAACAGTACCCATGATTTGGAGCAGAGCTTGTTATGTTGTATTTGCTGACAACATGCAGGGAAGACCAAGAAGTAAAGATGACTGGAAGATGTTATTGATCAGGCAGAGTCTTAAAAAAATGATAATGCTGTAAAGATAATTGATTTATTGTCTGCCTTATCCAGAGTTATTTAATTTGATCATGGTCAAATTCTATGGATGGAGACAATGGATTCACTAATGATGCCTTGAATGCTTTGAAGTTGAAGCTAACTTCTCTCTCGTGAACCACTGTGGAGATGAACTATGATATACTTTTTTGTATAGACTAAAGAGTTTAATCGATCAAACAAGTTTGACGCTGGTAAGAAAACGACGCATATCTGCGTTCATAGATGTGTAGCCGACATATAGCTCTTTCGTCGATAGTTATAAATACATCCTCGTAGGAGCCGATAACTGGAAAGCTAGGTTGACTCGCTGTTACGAATTGTAGGTTTTTATCGTGATTTTCATCAAAAAATTGCTTGCCGAATCCCAAATACACACATACATTTACCTCACTCTTTCCTCAGGAGGGAGTGGGAAATTGTGAAATTTTCGGAAAAGCGGTCAATTTCGGTAAATCTCAGCGGCAACGGACGAAATCCGCCATTTTTTTGGCGTCACCAGATATCTAAGGCCGCGCTTGAGATAGCCGCTCCAGTTATTATAGAACTCGATGTTTGGCACTCAGGGGAATGATCATTGAGCTCTATAAAACCTGGAGGGGCAAAGGGGCCTGGACCCCGTGGTCAAAAACATGGCGGTAATGGCGGATTTTGGTGGTCAAAACTTCCACTTTAAAAATTTTTTTCAATATTCACTCCCTCCTGATTTCTAATACTGTTTGTATGAACGAAAACAAGTGAGAAAAAAAGCAATTACGATACCGACAGCATATCATGTGAAAATAATGCTTCAGCATTGCGTGAAAAACACAGTACAGACACACATCAAAATAAAGAAGATCGACGGTAGAGAAACGCATATTTTGATGTAACATTTAAGTTATTTTATGACATTTTAGCCTTTTAAAAGTGAAAATCAAACGGCATTCTTTACTAGACCTGTCAATCTCGTCAAACTTATACATTATTTCATGCTTTTGTGTGTTTGACTGTTTGTAAACAGTTTGGTGCACCTATTTTTCTTGCTTCAAATGGATAAATCTGTGTAAAATGCTCCTAAGGAAGCGAGAAAATGTTTGCTTCAGTCCTACGACATAAGTCAACTGAAAATTTACCATGGATAAGTATCATAAGTGTATTGTCATTACCTGATAAATCTACTGAAAACTCATAAAGAAAGTATGTTGAACTAGAAGAGCTACAAAAAGAAAAAATTCAAAACACCATGACACTGTTGCTTGGTAATTTGTATTTTGTAAACAGCTTGGCAGAATCTTGGATCTATTACTGAACAGAACTACATTAATTTTCCATTGAAATTACAAACTTGGA